AAAGCCCAGGGAAACGAATCCCAGTCGGTGCCCTGAAGCAGCTGCCCCATGATGCTTGGCAGGCTTAAACCCAGACTCTGTACTGCATACGGAGGAGACAGACACCGCACACAACGGAGGATTTCCACGACGATGGTAAATGCTTGTTTTACATCTTATTGCTCCAGAAAGGCTCCGGGAGCCCGTGATATGTGAAGGAGCTGGGTCCTGAGGAGTAAAGGAAGACCACAGGGGTAACTCTTATCTGTCACTAGCACTGCTGAACCTCAAACACAGCAGTAAGGGGAGATGGGGGAGCTAATCTAACCCCTCTAGGCTAGAGCCACCTCTGCTTTCCTCCCCACGGACCAAAGTTGGCTGGGAAATCCCCGTGACACCTGCACGATGCCGGCGGTGTCAGCCTTGCTGCAGGCTGGTGCAGATAACACGTTTCCCAATCCTCCTGAGGCTTGGCTTGTTCCCCCCCACCCACCCCACATCCCTCTTGTAAACAGCAAAGTCAGAAGTAAACAATTTCATACAATCGCTCCCCCGGCGTGGGCACCGGCACGAGCCCAGAGGGTGACAAGGTTCTGCAACAGGGGCCTTGGCTCCCCCCACACTGACCAGGTTACCCCCCACCTGGATGCCACAAGAGCTTCACTGCAGCCACAGGAGACACAGCCAGCCTGGCCAGGCTGGGGAATGGGTCACAGGCTCGGTGTTGCTTTCTTAAGCTCAGGTTTTCCCAGCGGCGCATCCTAATGCCGAGAACATCCACAGCGGAGGGGGAAGTTCAGCCTGCAGGAGCTCAGGCAGGGGAGGCCACATAGACCCACCTGGCAGGAGAAGCCTAAACATCCTCCATCCCACGGCACATGCAGGTTTGAGCTGTTCCCCGTTCCCACCTTGTTCTAGAGGGAGTGCTGGTCTGGGCCAAAGTAACTGGGAGGAGAGATGTGGGGAACTGTAAACACAAGGCAAGTTCCTGTATAGTCTGGGGAGTTGAGCACAAACAGCAGCAAAATCATCAGGGAGAAATGCTCTTAAAAGGACAAACTAATCAGGGAAACATCCACGTTGGCCAAAGGCTAGCAGCCCTAGGACTCCTCCTGGGAAAGTGTTTGCTAAATCCTAAGTAAGGCACTACGGTCTAGCTCACTAACATCAAGCTGCTTTAAAAACACATCTGCAGTTCAAAAGCTGAGGTGGACACGTGTGGTTTGAAGATGGCCTGAAACAGCAGTGCACCAAGAGGACTGACCCTCCCAGGGCCTGCTGGGCTCATTCCTGTCCCCAGAGAGGAGCAGGAAGCTGGCAGCTGGCTGGAGGCAACGGTCCCAGGGAGCAACCCCACTTACTGCCTTCCACCTTCACCTCCTACATTTCAGGCTTGGTATTCCTGCTGCTAGGAAGCTCCCTTTAACCGTGATGAGATGCCTGCTGAGGTGCCATTCCAGCAGGGAAAGCCCTGTGGGCAGGGCTGGGAGGACAAAGCCCTCTTACTGCACCTGTCCAGGCCAGGGTTCAGTTAGAACAGTTGTAACAGTCAGGAGCAAAGGCTCTGCCAGGTGGAGGAAGGATGGGTCCAGTGATCAGGGCACTAACACTGCACTCGTGAGCTACAGGGTTCACTCTCCCCCTCCTCAGGGATGCTACACAGAGAGCTGCAGGAGAATCCCACCTGGCTGCAGCCCACAGGAGCATCCCTAGGGAGAAACACAAAAGCGGTGTGAGAACGAGGGCCTGGCGCTGAATCTGATCTGTCTGAACCTTCACAAGTCACAGACAGATGGTCTGGAGCCTCCTGGTCCTCCTAAGAAGGACTTGGCCTTCCTGCAGCCACAGCCTTAGCTTTGTGTCCTGGAATAGATGGAAGAGAAGAAAGAAGCCCCTCCCTCCTTTCCCTGCTGTAGCTCTGCCTTAGCCCACCTGAATTTCCTCCATTTCCATTCACTCCCATGAGGTCAGCAAAGTACACTGAGGAGATACACAGACGTGCTGCCAGTTAGGAACCTTCCAGTGATGACCCAGGAAAGCTGCAGCCTGCACACAGGCAAAGAGCAGTTCCCACAGCCAGGGGTGAGGGGTGATCCCCTCCTGCCCGTGGCCGTGGCCGGCTCCAGGCTGAGCACCCCAGCAGCTTGGGAGCGATGCTGGGTCAGACCAGCCCTGTCCCCAACCCACTGCTGGGTGATTTAAGCTGGTGAGAAACGTTTTAGGTGGTTCAGAAGCTGCAGGGTGGAGAAGAGGTGGTGCTTTACATTGCATTTACAGTGAGCAAAGTCTAAAGATCATCAACACGGGGGCAGCCGTGTTTAACTGCAGGCAAGGAAATAAAGTATTAACTGCTCAGCCTGAGGTTCCAATCTCCTTACCTGAGCTGTACTGTACTGTAACCCACCCTGAGCAGCAGCACTGCCTTTTGCTTCCCAGAGATCATTAGCTAGCAGGGAAAAGCATCCCATCAGAGGCAAGAATCCAGCTCGTAAGCCACTTAGGCCAAACTTCCTCCTCTCCCCAGCATTGTTCCTGACAACTAGAGCTCAGCATTAAATGGATCAGAGCAGTGGACTGTTTTGTGTTTCTCTTGTATGCAGGTGATTTCCACCTGAAAACATACTCAGCAGCTCCACAGTTACCTCTGTGCAGAGAGTACCAAACATCATAATGAAATCCAGCTCAGGGAGAGCGGAGGTCTGCCCACCACAGCAGCAGATGTGCCTTGCCAAACGGCTTTCCAGCTTGTTCATCCTACTCTATCCTAATGTCAACTGCTCACAGCCTGGGCAGCACCCCCCCTATTCAGGAGCTGCCCGGCTATGAAATTATTATTGTTTAGCTGCTTGCAACATGTGATCCGAGAGACTTGTTTTTCCTAAAGCACTGCACTCCCAGTGCGAACCTCGCCATCACTTTGCTTCCATTTTCCTTAGGCTAAATCAAGAGCTTTCAACCCAAAATTGTGCCCAGCTGGACTCAGAGCTGGTGCCTGGCAGCACACCTCAGTGCCAGGCTACCTCCTTATGGAACCACATCTCTAGAAACATCTGCTGAGTCAAACGGCAGCACAGGGGACACGGGGAGGGCTGGGCAAGGGCAGCTCCACTCTCTGGATCTTGTTTAAAGGTCTCATCAGTGTGACAGCTGCCAGCTTCTGCTCTTCCACAGGCCCCTGCAGCCCCCTCCCACACCCCCACAACACCCCTTCCCGACACAATAAAGTAACACCCAAAGATTTCACATTGCCAGAGATCTTCTGTATTATCATCTTCCCTTATCTTTGACTTCCTCGTTGCACGTAAATAACGGAGATTATGGGTCCCTGGTAAATAAATCTGCAAGAGAAAACAAGAGAGGAGAAAGACAGGTCAGGTTTGTCAGTGATTTGTTCCGGTTATTACACTGTGACTCCATTGTGGTTGCTGGATGGAAAGGGTGTAGGACACCACTCCCACTGCCTGCCCACTGATCCCAGTCAGTCCAAAACGGGTGCTGCCACATCTCTCCACTTCACAGCGCTTTTGCCATCGATCCAGACAGGAACTGGGCTCAATTTACAGTCACTTCTTTCCCAGAGGGACTCAGCAGTGCATGGAGCACACTGCCAAGGTCAGCACACATCCAGCAGCCCCAGCACAGGGACTGAGCTGGGATGGGCTGATGGGGGACTGAGCATCACCCCATCCCACAGAGCTCCCTGCAGTGACAGCCCTGCTGGAACAAGGACAAGTGTTACCATGGCAGAGCCCGGCCTTGAGCATCCACATAATGCATCCATGAGTGCCAGCTCCCTGTGCTCCACCAGGAAGGGTGGAACAAGCTGTGACCCTGGAGATGGCCTGCACAGCTCACCCCGTGCGTCAGCAGCAGCTCAGGCATCTGAAGTGGCTCTGCAAGAGGGAGCTAAAATCCAGGTTGGTACAGCTGGAAGAAGAATAGGATGCGCTCACAGCTCAGCCCACAAGGATGCTCACTGCCAGGAATTTTAGGGAAGAACAGGCAGGTATGTGCTGCCCCAATCCCTGCTCTGGCCAAAGCCCTGACACTCAGCATTCCCCCGTGGTCCTTGTAGTAGTCAGTTTAATTTTTCCCCAGACTTGAGCTCTGAGCTCAGTTATATGGAAAAAAATAGGGGGCTGGATTTAGCTCCCCACTTCAGCAGTGGCAGGTCCTCCCCCACCAGGGATAAGACCAGAGCCTCTGTAGAGACACTGAGGGAGCAGCAGGAGAGACCTACTGCAGAAAAAATGCCACTGCCCAGCAAATTACTCCAATCCCTTAGCCCTAGGAAATCTCATTAAAGAAATCCGTGCCTGAGGAACACATTTCCAAAGGGAGAGGCTGCTCAGAGCAGAAGGCAGGGTCATGGGCACGCTCCTTTTCAGGTGAGGTCAACCAAGAGACGCAACTTTTGCAGGCTGCCATCAGAAAGAAGCACCACTGTTTGAGGAGGAAGGAGGCACCCAGACATCAAGTCAGGGGCAAAGGCACAAGGCTTTCTCTGGAAGATTTCTCCTGTTATGCAGCTTCATTAGGAAGTAGGGCAGTGTTTCTGTTTGTGCTTCCCTGGAGTAGGAGCATTTTCAGGGAGGGCTCGTGCTCGAGTAGCCCTGAGCTCCCAGCTCTGAGACAGGAGAGCTCACCCCACTGACGCACGTTGTTGCAGGGGCTTGTTCAAGAGCTTTTAATCCCTCCCCTGATGCCACTTATAGTTTTAATCAGCTCGAATGTTCATTCAGCATCAGCAGGATGTGAACCAGCAGCCCATGAAGTCCTCACCCAGCATGCAAAGGTGACACCAGTGTGTGGGTCTCGCAGAGAGGGGAGGTGGCAATGGGGTCTGCACGGCAGAGAGGACTCAGTGCAGGGGAGGGAGAGATAACCCATCACCTTCTCGTGCTAACCGTGATATCTGCCCCTGTGTGGGAACACAGAGTACCAGGGAAGGGGGCTGAGAGCCTGATTTATCTCCTGAGCCCTTTCTCACGCTCTATACCTGTATTTGTAACGCATTCTTTGGGAGCAACTTAGACCCAACTGCAGCAGCCCCCCCTCGAAGGCAAAGCAGGGCTGACAGTGAACAAACACAAACTCTAATACACCTGGACACAGGCGACACGATCCAACTCACATGCAGGGCTTCATTTCACCCCAGGTAAAATCAGTACTGCCCAGAAGGGTGTCACCAGTCTTTGGGGTGCCCCTGTGATGCTGCACTTGCTGCTATGGCCAAGAAGAGGAACTGACTTTGCTTTCACTGTCCCATGGCTTTTGTCCTTGCCAAGATCCACAAATCACACTGGAAACAGTCCAAAGTCAAAACCAACATTGTTTCAGGAATGAAATTGCTGTCCTTAGACTGGCCAGTGGGTAAAACTTGAGCTGAGTGGTACTAACAGACAAGATCTAACTTGATGCAGCACCCCTGCTCACCAACAGCTCTCAGAGCTGCTGCCTACCCCCAATACCTCTCTGTCCTCCAGCTCCGAAATTCCACAGGGCAGCAGTTTATCAGCCGGGCTGGGAGTGGCTGGGCACAGCACCAGGGAGCTCTGACCAGACAGACACTGTCATACAGGGCGAGCAGATGAGCTTGTTCAGCATCAGCTCCCGGTGCACGTTGGAAACGCAAAGAGCAGAACAATGCAAATGCAAACAGCCACTTTCAGCCGAAACTGGAATGATCAAACCCAGTGACAGAGGAGTGCTGGAGAGAACCAGGTTGGCCTCGGCTGTCAGACACCTTCCTGCTGATGGCAGCCCCAAAGATGCTGCAGCAGCCTGCAGAGATTCCTGCCATTCACCTTGAGCATCCACCCCAACATCAGACCAACTGTTTCATCTGCAGTGAAAATATCATGGAATACGATCTGCCAAAACAAGCTGCCTTCTACACTGATCACGACCATTGCAGTTCGATGTCCTGAGTGAAACAAAACTACAGAGTTTCTGAAAAGCATAGCAGTCAGTGCTGGGCCATCACACAGCAATCAAGAGACACATTAGCAGGCACTCGGCACAACCAAGCCACTCCCCAACTGTACCAGAAAGGCTTTTGTCCTCTTTGCCCAAAAGGCATTGGGAACAGCTCTGGAGAGCTGTAGATAAAACTTGGCTTTAAATAAACTTCTGCAGAAGATCTCAGGCTGTAGATAAAACTTCTGCCCAAGGTGGGGAAGCACAGTTGTTCAAACGAGAAAGAGAAGACCTTTGTTTTCCCCAGGAAGACACTGCCCACCTCTGCTGGAAGTACTGCCCCGGGGCCACCGGCAGTGCTGGGGGGGAGAGCAAGGAGATAAGGAATCATCTCCACCTCAGGCACCCCCGGCGTCCGGCAGAAACCAAGCCAGAAACACTTTCCTCTCTGAGAACTGACATTTCCTATCTGCATTTCGGAAGGGTAGCGGAGCGTGGGGCTGCCAGGTGGGTGCAGCATCCCTGGCAGAACCGAAGGCAAAGCTGATGAGACAAAGCGAAACCTGAGAAGGTCAGTGGCGCAGCAAAGAACAAGGAAAAATTCGATTGCCTGGGTCAGGGACGGTTACAAATTTCCAGGTTATGACATGAACCAAGGTCGAGCAGGTCTGAACTGTCCTGGGGAAGAACTCGCTGCATGACCAAGCTACACACTAAGTTGGAAGGGGTTACGCGAGTTTCTCGGTCAACTAAAATTACCTGAGAGCAGAATTCAGGCCCTGCTCTAAATCCCATTTTAAGCTTCTCAAGCAGGTTTCCAATTTAAGATTTGCATTTTAACAGCAGCCAGACGAAGGCTGATTCGAACGCACTGCTACGCCAGGCATTAGAAAAACCCCCACCCAGCAAAGCCCACCAAACGCTGTGGTGCCCCAGGCCTGAGGCAGAGAGAGGAACGCTGTGGGCTTGCAGGGAACATATGGCTGGTGCTGGGCTCTATCTGGGCCAAGCGACCACGCTCCGTGTGCCAGGTTGGGTTATGTAAGTGCATCCATCGCTGCCGCAGCTGTGTCACGACGGAGCGATCGGTGCAGCCTCACGGATGGAGGTGGGGAGGGGGGGGCTGCAGGAGGCAGCTGGGATTGAGCAAACAGCCGCGGGGTAGGACTGTCCCCTCGGTGTTTGTTATCCCTTCATGTACTATTCCGCGGATCTGCGCAGGATGAATTTTCCCCGGAGGGCACGGGCTGGTTGCATAACTCGGCAGCATCATGTCAGCACAGAGCAAGCCCAGATGGCACAGCCCGGCCTGACCCTTGGCAGAGCTGCTCCCACCCCGGACCGGCCCCACGCCTCGCCCCTGGGGCACAAGGTGGGGTGGGTGTCTGCTCTTGCCCCGGGGCTGGAGCACACCCTTCTTAAGGGCTCGCATTTCCGAAGATTCACTCCTCTCACACTAATCCCCAGCCCACACTTGCACTGGGACCAGTATCGAGCCCCAGGCAGAATCAGTTACCTGCACTTGAGACCTCAAGGGTGTTAAATATTTTGTGCCTGGGATGGTGCAGAAGGGATGGTCCGGGCACAAGTTTGGACAAACCAACAGTGACAGAACAAGACCCACCCAATGGGCCTTTCCATTTCCATATCCTTATTTTTCTACATATAGCACAGGTTACAATGCCAGCAGCTGACACAGGCAAGGCTGTCAGAGGTCTCTGGGGATCACTGAGAGGCAGGCAGCTCTGCAGGAGCCCGAGAAAGGACCTGGGCTGGGAAGAGATCAGCCTCACCCCTGGTAATCTGTAATTCTTCAGTTCCATTGAAATGTTTGGCTGGGAGAATCCCTAGTAACAGCTCCTGTTTACAGACAGCTCTGCCATGCGGTCAACACCTCCCAGTCCTTCTGTGTCACTGGTTAATGACAGGGCCAGTTACCCCACCTCCCCAGGGATCCTTCCAGACCATGTGTGACCACCCAGGTCTCAGGATCAGGACCTCTGAGCTTGAGACTATTTAGCTGGGGGGAGAAGGGAGGGGACTCCTGAACAGAGCAGAGCTCAGTCTGTGAGCACTGCTGTTTTGTAAGCTTCCTTCCTGAGCAGACACAGGTCTGCAAACACAGATGCTGGAGAGCAAAGCATCTCCCGGCTTTGGGCCACTGCAGTTCACACCAAAGGGAAGTCCTGCCCTTAACAGGGAAATGAAACAGAGCCACAAGACAGACCCACGTGCCTCGTAGGTGAAAGGAAACGGCTTTGTGCCCAGGCAGATGTGCCACTCGGTGCCTGCTGGCAGAGCCAGCTGAGCCCCGAGGTGCCCTGTCCAAGTGTCAAAGGGGAGGGGGATGGTGCCCCCAACACTGACCACAGAAATTACATCACATGGCAGAGGCAGAAGTGGCAGCTCCCTCCCTGCCCCCGGGGGAGAAAGATGCCCCCAAAGCTTATCCCAAATGCTCACAGGTCTCTCTGCCACACCCCAGCCTGCCTCAGACACTGGCCAGAACCTGTGAGGAGCAGGACTCCCTTCCAACTCCACTGGGCCTGGCAGGACATGCGGCAGCCAGTTCTGTTTCCCACCTCTGCTTTATTTTTGCAGTAGAATAGGTGAAAGCAACCTCAGAAGCACTGCTCTGATGAGTCACTACGAGAAGAGCTCTGGGAACATAAGGCTCCTTTGTGTCACTACAAAGTGCACTATGGGGCCAGTACAGCACACAGAATAAGACAAAAAGTGCGAATCACTTACCCAGCTGCAAAGCACAGCAGTGCCCTGCCCTGAATTTAAGCAGCACATGTAACCTGGTCCATTCTGGTTTCAAGCTCAAAGGCATCAGGTCGATCCTGCGGGTTAGCAGCCAACATGTCTTTCAAGAGCTGCTTGATCCCCTCAGACATGGAAGTCCTGCGTTTCTGAGGGATGTGCAGCTCCATCTTTGGGTTTTCTAGCAGCGCTTCCCCAACGGGCACAATCTCGGTCCCCTGCTTGATGTAGGTCCCCAGCAGCTCCTTCTTGGTCTCGGCGTCGATGAAAGTGATCCTCTCAATCATGGCCCAGATGATGATGCCGAGGGCAAAGATGTCAGCCTTGGCAGTGTAGTGTCCTTCCCAGACCTCGGGGGCCATGTAGAAATCAGAGCCGCAGGCCGAGGACAGCCAGTACTTGTTCACATTCACATTTTTGTTCTCGTGCCCACCCTCCTTGCCCCGAGCGGTCAGGCCAGCGCAGACCTTGCTCAGCCCGAAGTCGGCCACCTTGAGCACGGGGGTGCCAGACTTCTCTGTTATCAGGATGTTGTCTGGTTTCAGGTCCCGGTGGACGATGTGGTTCTTGTGCAGGAAGGCAATGGCGCTGGTCAGCTGCAGCATGAAGCTCTTGTTGGTCGCCGGGTCGGGTCTTCGGGAGAGCACGTACTGGTTGAGGTCTCCCCCTTCACAGAACTCCATGACGAACCACAGGTAGCAAGGCTCCTCTGCATAGCCCAGGATCCTCTCACCTAAGCAAGAGGGATAACAGAGTTGGTTTCTCAGGCACGTCACAAAGTCCATACTAACCCAGGGCAGATGAGGAACGGGTCTGGTTTATGTGGATACAGGGACGTGACCGGGACCTATCGCACAGCAGGGCGCCATCAGCGGCACTGCTGTGGCTTCAAGTGCTTTGGGATCCCGTTGAGCGCCGCACACCAGCACCCCATTTATCCAAGCCACTGCCTGGGGGCCAGCTGAGGGATCTCTTCCCAGCCAAGCGCAGTGAGTGGCACTGAGAACACGTCTGCTGCAGTCCCACCATCAGGCCATTATCCCCAGGCTGACAGCCAAGGAACACGGGCTAAAGGAACAATCAGCAGCAAGTCTACAGGAGAAAAAAAAGTCAGTTCTATGTGAATACCTCCTCTCCCACCTGAGCTCTGCTACAGGAGGCAAAGGCTGGCTCATTCTGCACAGTTTACTGGAACTGCATATGGGGAGTAACTAACGGTGCCAGTGAAGCCTCACTAAGAGTGGTCACACCACTGTCCAAGCGCTGCAACCCACGGGGTGTTCCCAGGCCAAATTTGTGTGTTCAACTGCATTTGTGCTAGGGGAGCTCTGCCACTCCATCCAGCTTTCATTAAGTGCCAACAACTCTTTAATGAGATGAAACTGGAGGTCCAAGTAGCAAACTATGCCTGCTGGAGTGTAATTGCCACGCTGGTGACTGTTACTGTTGCTACTACTAAATATCACACCCCAAACAGCTTCTCCCTTCACCAGACATCAAAGCGAGCTCTTCAAGCTCAGAGCATCTCAGGGTCGATTCATTAAATCCAGGTTTTACTCCACAAACCTCCTGCCAAGGAAAGGACTCTGCTGCAGGTAAATTAAGATACATTGAAACCACAGCAGAGTCATCTCAGCTAATGGGGCCAGGTCTACCACTGGTGCTCCCTGGGGATGCCAGGGTGCCCCAGAGAGCACTGGCAGACCTCGCCCCACTAAGCTGATGCCAAGATGCAAACCCCACTGCCAGACCCCAGGCCTCCTCCGTAGAGCACCCAAGTGACAGGCAGAGCCTGCACACACCACCAGAGCATCATTTGACTCTAGAAACTACTTTTTTTTTTTTTACCCTCAAGCACCATAAGGGAGAAGCTGGAGGACACCACTCACCTCTGCCACTGTTAACAAATCCCACAGGCGAACTCCAGTGTTTTGAAAGCACTAAAGTAACTCCACCCATTTGACAAAGTTGTGTTTTGTTTGAGCAAAGCCCTAGAGAGCATCTGGGAAAGCTAAAAACTTCCAGCAGCAGGTAAAGCCAAGGACTACCAGGGACACCCAGCCCTGGGCTGCATTGGTCAGTGATCAGTGTGGGTGGGAATATCGGTTATTTGCACAAACAGTCTGTATCCATGACTACTGCTATGGAAATGGAAAGCTGCACAACACAAGGATTTGGCTGCACCTCTCTGCCCTCAGCAATCTTCTGCTGAGATTAGGTCTGAAGGTTAGATCTGGGGATGGAAGAACAGGCTGGAAGTACACAGGGCACTTAGGGGGTCTCATTTGGCTGGAGGGGGCAAGCCCAAGGGCCAAGAGGGAGCAGCACAGGACAGGCTTGGCTCTGGAGACCAAAATGCTGACCAGGAAAAGCAGCTTCTCTGGTGCAAGCCACCCTTTGGCATGACAGCATGGAAACTGCAGCAGAGGCTGCCTGTCCTGCGAGCAAGAGCCCTTGGCACAGCCAGGACAGCCCCAGCTCACGCCGCTGCCACCACCACCCTTTGCTAAATCCAGTGACATCACAGCAGGACACAGGGTTTGGCTTCCCTGCTCCCCTCTGCATCCATACAGCCCCAACACAGGGAGCAGGAGGGTCTGGCTCTTCTGTGCCAGGAATCAAACCATGACAGGGAGCACAGTGGAGCCTCACTCCCCTCACACACATCCAGGTGGGAGCATCCACACAGCGCTGCCGACAGCCCCTTCCCTCAGGAAGTGGCTCAGCAGCAGCCAGGACCTGTTGCCTCTGACAAGCCAAGGTTTGTTTTTAGCACAGCGAAGGCTCTGATTGAAAACTTGGCCCCTGAACCTCAGCAAGCATGGGGAGGACGGCGACCCAGCAGTAACTGCAAGCACCAGGCACTCCAGTTTGGGTGGAGCGCTGCTAGGAGAGGCTTAAGCCAAAAGTAATATTTCCTCATTTTCTTTCTATAATCTGAAAGTGTTTTAGTTGTTAAATCATCTTCCTGCCTTCAAAACAAACAGCTTGAAACATAAAGAGCTGGCAAGCCGCTTCCTAAAGATGAGATGTTAGCAAGCTGAAGCCAAGCAGCCAAGAGCTGATGACAGGCCAGACCTGTTCTCCATCAACAAATCAGCTCCCTGCCCAAACCCAGGATGGCACACATTCACCCTCCATCCTTCCAGTAGCCCCCCACCATCTATCCTGGGAGCTCATTAGCAGCGTGGTAATTTGCTTGGTTTCAGAGGGAAAACAAAAATCTAGGGAGAGCAGAAGCAGCATCCCAGCCCCTACAACCACGTGCAACCTCCGACTCCCTCTGTGCAAAGAGGCTGTGCCACAGAGGTGGGAGCTGATGGCAACACACATGGGTGACGCCAGGGCAGCCCACGAGTGAGGCTGACTGCTGGTGGCCCCACAGGTGACACGCTAGGAAACAAGACCTTATACCTGTTCACTTAAGGCAGCTCTGTCTCTGCTCGAGGTTAGGGGCAAGAAGGGCACACGGCTGCCCTGGAGGTGCTCCTGTATCGAGGCTCTGAGCACATTGTGCCTCTCCTCCAGCTCAGCACTGGGCTTTCATCTTCCTTTTTACACCACCCTGCCCTTAAATTTAATTATCCCACATCTCATTAAAACCATAAAGGTTTGGGCTCTTGCGCTGTAGCTGAGACCCAACGTCGCCCGGGTGTCCCGACAGTTGTGCTCCCGATTCAGAAGGTCTTGGATTAATCCTCCCCCGTGCCCTGAGCCCCGGCACGTTGGCACAGCATCTGCGCTGGCCCGTAAATAGCCCAGCTGCGGTCGTGCAGAATGGCACGGCAGCACAGCTCCACGGCCACCGCGGCAGCCCCGGCACTGCTGCGCACCGGAACGAGAGCAGGAGACCTGGGGGGGGGGCTCCTCCAGCTCTGCCTTTTGCTTTGGAAATATTTATATCCGTGTCTATCCACGCCAAGGCTCGGGAAGGCAGTGAGCACAGGCTGCCCCGGCACAAGGCAGCCCCCAGGGCAGGCAGGAGGAAGGCTGATGGAGGGGGGAATGTGCTCTGGTTTGGGGAGTCAAACCACTCCTGTTCAGCCTGGACCTGTTCAGCAGCAGGACCAGAGCAGGCAAAGCCCTCCCCACGGCTGGGAGTTCAGGGAGCTCAACCCCCACCTAGAGATGGGGGCGTTTATGGGGCTCCCTCCCCACCTGGAGATGAGGCACCTACAGCTGCCCCAGAGCTTTCCCCAAGTCAAGCTACCTCTCCTTGGGGTGTGCAAAAACGACAGAGGGGGTGTGGGAAATCTACCCCTGTACCTGCCAGACATAGCTTGACCTGGTACAGCTGGACACACACCCAAAGGGAAGAGCTGGCTCCTCTCCCAGGGAGCTCTGAGTCCAGGCTGCACAGGAATTCGGACACTGCCCTTCCCGGGGAGCCTCCCTTGGGTGGCTGCGTGAAGGGAGAGCAGGAGCTGGGCTGCATGGGGGGAGCCAGGCAGGTCTGGACATGTCTCCCCCAGGGATACAGGGGGGACAGGGAAGGCAGAAGCAGTCAGAGCCACAGGTTTGCTCAGAGGATGGGTCTCAGCAGCCTCACATGACCTCTGTGCTCTGCACGGGGTTTGGGGGCTGCCAATGCCGGAGGCTCAGCTGGGGGGCACTGAGGAACTGAGCCCCTGAGGAGCAGACAGGAGTCAGTTTACACACAAATTTGGGGAACAGGGACTGGGGTGAGCTGGCTCTGCCCACAGCAGGCTGGGGGGCCCGAGGGGCATTGAGGGCTCCAGTATTTTTCCACGTCTTCTCAGCACGTTGGCAAAGCTGGGTCTGACAAGCAGCCAAGAGAGCAGAGGGAGGGAGCATTTCGGAGATGTCACCACCACAGTCATCGGCTGTGACTGGAGAAGGTGACCCCTGACAGCCCTATGATGTTGCTGAGGGACCCCAGGGGAAAATGGGGGTGTCAGCCCGGGCTACAAGCATCGATGCTTCTCCAGGGCTGTTCCCACAGAGCCAGCACTGCGGGGAAACAGGGACAGTCCCAAAGCCACGAGAGTTCAAAGGAGCAGGCAGGGTACTGTAACCTGCAGCCTTGGGGTGCTCAGAGATGGGACATCAGGCAGAGATGGGGAGGTGTCCCCTTGGACAGTTGTGACTGGGGCAGAGGCTGTGAAGGTCCCCAAGGGATGTGTGTGTGTGCTGTGGCAGCAGAGGGAACCCCAGGATTTGGGGTGCAAGGGAGGAGGACGAGGTCAGTGCTGGCAGGGGGTGCAGGGAAGGGCTGGGGGCACCACCCAGGGATGTCCCCCACGGTGGGGGATCTGAGCCTGGAGGTGGCAACAGGGTTGCTCAGAAAGAGAGGGATGGGGCTGCAAGACACAAGTGTGGGCTTAGGGAAGGGTGTCACTGGAAGCAGAACACAGGAGAGCAGAGAAGGCACACAGGCAGAGCCCAAGGGCACGGCATGGGGGACAGGGCCCAGAACAGGGATTCTCCAGGTGTGCTCAGGGTGGGTGGCACCAAAGAGGGGCAGCAGAGAGACCCTGTGGGGGAGCCCTGCAGGCACAGGACAAAGATGGGTGATGGGAACAGCAGGGAGCAAGCCTGGAACAGGTACCCCAGAGGGAACCCTAGGGCAGGCAAGGCTGATGGGGTGCCCCCAAGGGCACAGTGGGGGAAGCCCAGGGGTGGTTATGCTGGGAAAACAGTGAGTCAAAGTGGAGGGAGGGGTGTTCTGAGATCTGGGGGGAGCTCTGGGTGCTCCTAAGAGCAGGCAATGACATAGAGGGATTTGAGCAAGGGGGTGATGGGGTGCAAGGGAGGGCACTACAATGCCTGGGGTGGGGATGTTGCAGCAGGGTGTCCCACGGGAAGGGGGAAAACACCAAGATGTCCTGCCCCTGTATCCCAAGGGGGATATAACCTAGAGATGGGGTGACATGGGGGTAGGCAGGACCTGAGGTAGGAGGATCTGAGTGCGGGGGGCACTGATGGCAGCAGGGAGGGGGCAAAAGGAAAGGCTGGGGGTGTGACATGGGTGCCAGGGACGGGGGCCCCTGAGGCCCCGGGCGCGGGGGCAGCCCGGGGAGTGCCCCGGGAGGGCGGCCGGTACCTTTGAGGGAGGTCTCGACGAGGCGCAGGTAGAGCTGGCTGCGCTTGTTGCCGTGGCTCATGCGCTGCCCCAGGCCGTGCCGCTGCAGCACGCACTCCTCGAACCGCACCACGTTCGGGTGCTGCCGCCGCAGGCTCGTCAGGGCCCAGAACTCGGCCAGCGCCAGCTCCACGTTCTCGGGGGCGTCGCAGCGGATCCGCTTCACCGCCAGCCGCGCGCCGCTGCGGCCCGACACCGCCTCGTACACCACGCCGTAGGCGCCGCGGCCGATCTCGGCCAGCAGGCTGTACCGCGGGCCGCCGCCGCCGCCGCCGCCGATGCCCGGCCCCGCCGCGGCCGCCGCCATGGCCCCGCGCCTCGCCGCGCGCCGCCGCCGCCCCGCCGTTACCGCCGTTGCCGCCGCTCTTTGTGTCCCGCGGCGGCCGCCGTCCATGTCCCCCCCCCCGCCCGCCCCGCGTGCCGGGCAGCGCCGCGCGGGCGAGGGGGCACGCGCCGGGGCCGCGGCCGCGCCGCGGGGCGGAAAAGCGCGCGCTGCCGGCCCCTTTAAGCGCCCGGCCAATCGCGGCCGCGCGGCGCGAACCACCGCCGCCACGGGGGGTGGCCGAGGCACCGCCCGCCGCCGCCGCCGCCCACCCGGGGGCCGGCCTCTCCTCGCCGCCGCCGCCGCGACGGGGCTCGGAGCGGGGCGCCCGGGCCTGCGGCCCCGCGCGCGGCCGCCAGGGCGCGGCGCCGCCAGCGCGGCTCGGGGGAAGAGGGGAGGGGAGGAGGAGGAGGGGGCTCAGCGCGGCGGCCGGCCCCCCCCGCTGCCCCGCCGCGGTGGTAGGCGCCGCGCCGGTGTAAACAGGCCGGCCATGGGGGTCGTGATGGGTCCCCCCGCCGGGCCCTCCCGCCCCTCCGGGCTCGGGGCTGCCCCGCGGGGCTCACCTGCGGCGCGGCGCTGGCGGCGGGGGGCTCCGGGCCAGGCGCTGAGCGACGGCGGTGGCGGCGGCGTCGTGTGAATGGAATGGGATGGGCGGGGCGGCAGCGGCGGCGGCGGCGGCGGCGGGATAAGAGCGGGGCCGCGCGCCCTGACGTAACCCCTTATGTAACGGCGAGGGGTGACCCGCCCCCCCCGCCCCGGGTCGGGAGATGCCTCGGGAGGGGCCGCGTGCACCGGTGCACCGGGGGCGGTCGGGTGGGATGCCGCCCGGGGAGCGGTAATGCTTCGGGAGGCGCCGGTGCCCCGGGATGCTGCAAATCCCCGGGAGACGCCGTGATGGCAGTAGCCTAGCGGTGCTGGGTGCTGGGTACACGGGGGAGCGGGGAAGTGCAGCCGGGGATGATGCCCCGGGGAGGGAGTGATGCCCCGGCACATCCCTGGGACCGGGTGAATCCCCGGTGCGCCAGCGGTGGACGTGCGGTGTTGGATGCTCGGCACACCGGGGGCGTTTTCACAGCCCCGGCAGCATTTGGGGGCCCTGCCGGTGACAGTCCGACCCCGCTCCCGGCGATCACCGGGGAATTCCAGCTGGAAGTTCCCCGGAAAGTCTCCACGATCCCGGGAGGCATCGCCCTGCTGCCCTGCGGGCCGGGACCGGGGTTTTTGGGGCAGCCCAGGCTGGCGTGGGGCGGCGCGGCACCCACGGGATGTCCATGTGTGGGACGTGCATCCATCACCGAGAGCGGGACGGGGCGACTGCCCCACGCCGGGCCCCGCGGGGAGGGGATGGCGACCCCCGGAGCCACTGGTGGCTCCAGCGCGGAGCTGCCCCGCGGTGACAGGGCGGCTACAGCTCCTGCGAGTGGTTTGACCTCAATTTGCTTTTAAATGGAGCCACTTCACTTCCCCGGGAGGGAAGTGGGGGGGCTGCGGGCGCCGTGTCCCCGGTGCGGCTCGGCAGCGCCGTGACTCGCGTGGGCGCCG